AAAAGGAAGAAACCCATAGAAAGAGGTTGAAGATAAAACCGTGAACTAGAGAGAGAGAGAAATGGTGAGCTAGAAATGTCTGAATGAAATGATGTCAATTGGAAAACAAATTCCATACATATAAATGTGACTTCATTAAACTTTTGTATGTGCTTTAAGTGCAAAAGTATTGAAGGAAAGCAAATAATTTCCAGATTTTTTGAGACAGGTCTGTGAATAATTATCATAATCACAAGGGGTCCCATCTATTGAGCACATATGATAGCAGGCATGGGCTGGTGCTTCTTCCCATCATCTCATTTAATCGTAACAGCCCTGCCAAGTCTATGGCATTATTGTTATTTGAGACAAAGATTATTTAACTAAGCCTTGAACTAAGGCTCAAAATAGTTTGCCTAAGTGCATGCAGCTTGAAAAATAGAGGGACCATGATTCAAACTTGGGACTTCCTTGCTCCAGAGCCCAAGCTCTTTCCTCTAAAAGTAAGGAAACTCAGATAAATTTGATCCCCTAAGCAGCATCTGTATGTTTTTGGTCTTCAGACACTAGTAAAATTGATAAGCAACTTGCAACAGTTTTGTTCACTCTCACTACTATTCATTTGAAACAAAATGCAAATGAAAGGATAGAATTTAGAATTCTCAGATTAGGTGCTTGTTTTTTACATCCAGATCACCAATGTAAGATAGTATGTGTTTAGTTTATGGGTTTCTGTGTATGTGTGTGTGTGCACACGTGTGTATGCATGCATGTACATTCTTCATGTGTCACATGTGTGCATGCACCTGGAAGGGTATATAGATTTTACGGGGCCTGAATTTTATAATTTGGATGCAAATAGTTCTAGGGCTCCTCCCAAGGGACTATGTAAGTGAAGGCCCCTGAAACTCACCAGCTTCGTGGTAAACCCACCTCTGTACGGTTATGCGTGTACATGAACTATGTGTGTACACATGCAGATATATGGAGGAGCCAACAAAAGCTAGAAGCACCCCTTACAGTTAGTACTAGTTATGTCTCTTCTGGGAAGACAAAGAAGATTTATCAAGAATTGAATGGGCCAAGAATTTCCCGAAAAGTGCCTTTTGAATTTGAGCCAGTGATCATTAGCTAAGTTAGATATACAGTGCTTTGGCTCATGCTCTTTATTTTCAACAAGCAAATAAATATAACATTTTAAAATATCTTCTTTATTCCAGAGATCTCTTTGTTAGTACTACTCTTCAGATATGCCTCCATGAATATTTTCAGAGTGTACCAAGAGAACAGGCCGGGTGTTGGCGGGATTAGGGGACTGTAGCGATGGGGAGAGGGCGGGAGGCCATCTTTATTTATGTAGAAAACGGTTGTAGATGGGACACACGTTCATGGTGCTCCAGAAGCCAAAGCTAAGAGCTGAAGTACATGAGATTATAGGGCAGCCAGAGTCCAACTCATCAGAACTTTCTATCAACTAGAGCTGTCCAAAAGTGGTTTGCTTATCTCGTGGCTGGCTGCCCATCCCTGGAAGTTCTCCTCCAAAGCTACTTCTTGGCAGGGGCGGGGGGTGGGGGTGGGGGCGGGGGAGGCAGGGGACTTTTACTAAACACAAGTTCGAGTCATTATAAGAAACCTCTAGAATCCTCTCTCAGTCTAAGACTCCAAGCAGTTATCAGAAGCATTTCTCAGCAAGCTGTTATTACTGCCAGTCATGCACACACAGGGCATCAGTTAGTTGGGTCCCCATGGTAGTGACATGTTTGTGCTAAGCCTGACACATTCCCCGGCGGAGCCCTGGTTGCTGAGGAAACATGTGGATGGATGGATGGATGGATGGATGGATGGATGGATGGATGGATGGATGGATCTAGCTGTGGCCGTACTTCACAGTTTTAGGATTCAGTTTTTTCCTGGCCTGGAACCTGGGACCTCAGGCTCTCGCTCCCACCCACTAGCCAGCTGTCACAGGTGGTGCTGATGAATGTTATCTTACTAGTTCTCACAATAGGCGTGCAGTTTAGGTGAGGAACTGGCCAAGTTCCGCTTGGCTCTCTCCTCCGCCTGCTTGCTCCTGCCCACTCAGAGATGAACCTCGGCTGCCTGGCTCCCTTTGCCAGCTTTTGGGTGAGAGGCTGAAGTTAAGACCTGGGAAAGTGTGGGGCAGAGCACAGGTCAGCCCCACCGTGGGCTTAGCCCACCAGGGGGGTGAGGTGTCCGGAGAGGCCACAAATGGGTTGAATGGCCTCAGTTAACCTTTGCCCTTTGTGGAGAGGAAACAGAGACTCACTGACCATGACCCAGACACCCCTCCTTTGTTCAATATGTGAGATATTACTATAGTATTATCAATAATAATTGTAGTAATAATAATAATAATAATGGTGGTGGTGGTGGTGGTGGTGACAGCAGTGGTCACAGCCTCAGCTAGTGTTTGCTGAGTTCTCTGCCTGGCGCTGTGATGAGCTCATTTCCTCATCCACTCCTCCCAGCAATCCTGTGGGGTGGATGAAGCTGAGTGAGGCCTAGAGGCACCAGCCTGGCCCCACAGCGGAGACTCTCCCCGGCCCATGTTACTGCGCTGCCTGCTCTCCTGCCCAGGCTTCAGCCACCACACCTCAGAGCTTCTCCAGCCCCCGGCGTGACCCCAGGAAGAGGTTAGGGTGTAACAGTGCACCCGCCCCTGCTCTGGCTGCTTCAAGACCATCCTCTCATTGAATCCTCACAGCGACCTCTGGGGTGGATGTTCTGTGAAAAGCAGTCTGTGCCATCCTCCACATCAGCCTGCCTCTCTAGACAACAAAGCTGAACCCCTCACAGGCGCTAAGTTTATATTTCCTGGCTCCCCTTCCAAAATGATACACTGATTACTGATCTTTCATTTTTAATAGTAATCATCAGAAACACATTTTCAGTGTTTTTTTTCCTCCTCTTCATGCTACTCAAATAAAGCGTCACTCAAATCCACAGGATGAAACCCAGTGAGTGTGAGGCCATGTAAATTAAGAAAAGAATAGGAAGTCTGGCCGGGTTGGCTCAGTGGTTGAGCATTGACCTTTGAACCAGGAGGTCATGGTTCGATTCCCAGTCAGGGCACATGCCCAGATTGCAGGCTCGATCCCAGGTGTGGGGCATGCAGGAGGCAGCCAATCAGTGATTCTTTCTCATCATTGATGTTTCTCTCTCTCTCTCTCTCTCTCTCTCTCTCTCTCTCCCCCCCCCCCCCTTCCTCTCTGAAATCAATAATTTTTTTTTAAAGAAAAGTTTAGGAAGACATCACACTAAACAGAAAGAAACAGAGTATTGATTAGTGACTTGTTTTTGTCAGGGATTAAAATATGAATTTTAAACTAGGACTGTAGTTCGGACTCCGTGTCTTCATCTTATCGGAGACAGCATTACCATGACTGCTATGACTACTCGATGGGGCTTAGGTGAGCTCCGCAGCCTTCCAGCTCCCAAACCCAATCACGTGTGCCAGGTTCTGCCTCCAAAGTCCTGTTAAAAGTCTGGTTCAGAACACTGCTGCGTCTTCTTGCCCGTTTCACTGAAAGGAAATACCCAAGTGACCTGGTGTCTTCAGCTTTTCAAAGTCTTTTGCCTTATTGAGTCATAACAGTAAATAGTGGCAGTAAGTTATGTTAATAACAACCTAATTCAAAGGCAGAGGAAGGACGAAAGCCAAAGCGAAGACGCTAGGGACCTCAGGAATCCCTCAGAATCGAATGCGATGGGACTCGATTTGGGATAAATGGAAAAGGAGTGGAGGTTTGCACAGAGAAAGAATTAAACAGGGAGCATTTCTCAGGCTGAGTTTAAAAGAAAAAAAAAGAATATCTACAGCCCAAAATATGCAGTTAAATTAAGTTGTTAATGAAAGCGCCTGTTTAAAATGGCTAAAATTAGAGATAAAAGCCCATTGTTTGTTCCCACTGTTGACAGCATATCTGTGTGTGGAAGGGCGTGGGGGACAGTCAGGGCTGTGGCATTTGAGAGATTAATCACCCACCCTAAGGGGTTTTGAGGCACCCACCTGCATTTTGAACTTGGATCTAAGTCAAAGGGGTGGGACAAGATCATGACAGGTGTTTTTTCTCTAATTAACTTCTCAGTGGACACGTCAAACACCAAATATATCAGAACAAAGGGTCCCAGCTCAGGACAGCCCCCTCCATCCTCGGCAAGGGGCTGACAACTAAAGACGATTCTCTGGAAATTATGGAACCTTGGAGCAGTGCTGTGTTGCATTTTTAAAGGAGGGAAGCATCCCAGATGTGCCAGTTCCCTACACCGTCTCTTCTGTACTTAGCAGCTGTGACCAGATAGTGAAATTTTTTCATATTTATTCTCTTCCTACCTGGGATTGGGGTGGGTAAAAAAGCATGGGTGTTATGTATGTGTGTTGTTTGGGGTGTTTTTTTGGGGGGGAGGGGTGATTTCTATGAAGAATCTCTGAGTTGTCATAGGGATATTAAAACTTTTCATATTCAGTGACTTCATAAACCCTTGAATTATCTGAAATGCAAGCAAAGATGGATGTGGAAAGGATGTTTTCACAAAAGGAATAGCAGTAAATTAGGACAATTTAAATTTCAAATAAAGTCTGTGAAGCAGACTTTATGCAGCTACTGGAACAGTTCAATAACGTGGGAGGAAAACAGGGACACTGAGCTATGATGTGCTCGATTCTAATTTATAGCTCTAAGGAGGGAATGGGGCTTTCCTCTTAGTGATGACATTATGGGTGGGCTTTTGTTTTCTTCCTGGTTTTCGACATTTTATAAAACTTTTTTTGGTATATTTCATAATCGAAAAGTTCTATTAAAAAACTCACGTGCTCTGACCTTCCGAGTTCCAAGCAGCACAGCCTGTGTGTCCCCGGAGCCCTGGGAGAGTAGGAAGCGAGCCTGCCCTACTCACAGGACACGGTGAACTCAGAACAGTGCCACGCATACCGTCGAAACTCAGTGAGTAGTGAATAAAATATTCCCATTTCTGTATTTCTCTTTCCTTTCTCCTTCCAGGGGATGTGCTCTATGAACTCCTTCAGCATATTCTGAAGCAGAGGAAACCTCGGATTCTTTTTTCACCTTTCTTCCACCCCGGAAACTCGATCCACACCCAGCCGGAAGTCATACTGCACCAGAACCACGAAGAAGGTACCCGAGGAGGCTTGTCTTTCCTTAGACAGATCCAAGAGGTCTCATTGTTAATTTGATAAGTTGTCCTTTTTTATGTGAGTCACTTTTCATTCAACAAACCAATTATCGAATGCTTACTTTGTATAAGGTCCTGGGGGAAATGCCAAGATGATTGAGAGATACTCTAGGCTCTTTGCAACTCACAATCTTGGCGAAGAAAGGAGCAAGATACGCACATGTCATAGTAGGCATCCTAACGAGGTGGCGGAAGGGGAGATGTGCCCAGGTACCAGCAGCAGGTCAGCTCCATGCATGAGATGGCTCTGGGGGAGTCCTTGGTGGCCCAGCAGGATTCAGTTAAGCAGGGATGGTGTGGAGAACATTCCAAGCAGAGAGAATGGCAGAGGATGGAGTCAGTCCTTGGGGTAGAAAGTAGTCAGATGACTTGGGTTGTACAGCTTATCTTCCCTCCCCCTCACTTCCCCACAACCTTTTGTTATGAGGAATTTGAAGCATACCCCAAATAGAGAGAATAAACTCAATACAACCCTGTGAGCCAGCCATCAGCCTGTTTCAGCCATGATCCACACGGGGCCTTTGGAGAGCTACTCCAAGGAGGTTAGGTTGGAAATCGAATGTGGGGGATTTGGATGGAGGGAGGTAATGCGGAATCATTGAAGATTTGTGAGCAGAGGGTAACGAAAGCTGGAGGATGAAAAAAGACCCAAACCCTGTGAACTCTGTGGGGGACCCAGGAATTCTTCATGCACCAGAGGTGGTGTCCTACCTCGTACTCAGTGTAAGTGCTTATTTCAGCGGACCCAGGTGCTGCTCTCCTGTGAGTCACACCATCAGCAAAATCATTGCTAGAAAACAGAGCAGAAAACCAGACTTGCATTGTGACCTTGGACATAGTCCAGAGCAGGCCTATGGGCCCTGGCCAGTGTCGCCCAGGTGGTTGAATGTCATCCCATACACTGAAAGGTTGCTGGTTCCATTCCCGGTCAGGGTACATGCCCAGGTTGTGGGCTCAATCCCTGGTAGGGGGCATACAGGTCGCAGCTGATTGATGCTACACATCAATGCTTTTCTCTCTCTTCCTCTTTCTCTAAAAAGCAGTTTTAAAAATCTTTAAAAAAAAAAAAAAAGCAGGCATATGGGCAGGGAAATAGGTATAAAAATCTTACTTTGTGCACCATTCCATGTACAGCGATGCTCAGTTCCTCTGTGGAGCACTCCTGCCCGGATGGGTTAGACAACAGATGTGGGGACGCACAGCAATACTTTTCACCTGGGACTCTTTCTTAGGACCAGATTACTAGGGGACTAAAACCCTGGTCCCTTGGGGCATTTCCTTGTATCGCTAGATCACCCCCAAGAGCAGGGCTAATATTTTTGTTCTGGTATTGGCAAATTAAAAACATGAGAAGTTGTCTTCTTAATTAACACTTCACAAAAGAGAGCCTGACTCCAGGCAGCTCGACACCTCTTCCTTGTGCCAAGTGCTTCCCAGCAGGTCCCTGGCTTTGTGATGTTTCTCTCATCCTTCCTTCCTCTAGTTTCACCCTTGCTAAATTTAGCAGCTGGCCCCACCCCCAGTTGGTTTCTTCCTTCTTCTGCTCTTCCTGCATGTACATTTCCGCCAGCATAGTAACCAGGAGGTGGGTTTACTGAAGCTTGACATTAAGGCGAGAATCATATTACCTTGCCTGCCTCTTCAGATACAAAGGGCGTGTGATGGGTGTTACACGCCCCCCCCCCCTTTTCTCATTACTTAAAAAAAAAAATCCCGTTTGGAATTTCTGTTCCTCTTTTTATTCCCAAATGTGATTGGAGACTGATGGTCTCACCTCATCACAAATCCTTCCTCCTCTCCCCGGGGCATGATTTGACTCCGAAGTAGGTGTGCTTGTCATTGTTCTCATTTGCAGGAGCTAATCAATAGAGAAAGCTGGCTTACTCTCAGAGCTACTCTCAAACCCAGTAAATACAAATGTGGCCCACCTACGCTTTAAAGCTGTGCTCTCAAGTGTGGTGGTGGTAGGGATGAGCTCAGTCAGTCAAAGAATGGAACTAATGAGGCCAAGGTCAAGGGTCTCATCGCCCTGTGAACCAGTTCGCTCCGCTGCAGACCCTGCCCTGAAAAGTACTGTGTCTCAGAGACCACTCCTTAAAGCTATCAGCCAGGAAGCAGGAGCAGAGAGTACGTGCCCTCTCCTTCACCCGGGCAGACGCAGGCCATGCTCTCAGATGGACAGGTGGACACACAAGAAGGGCAGCTTAGGCCTTTATCAGCAGTTAGCAAATGAGAAGAGTTGTACAAGATTCTGAGGCGATATGAAGAGGCCGCTGCCCCTAGACTTCCAGATCTCTTGGTGCCCTTGGTGATGAAGGAGAAGGAACCCACTAGAGTTCCCTGTCCCCACCCGCCTCCCACCTCCCACCTCCCACCTCTTCTCCTCTCTCCTCCACCAACAAGAAGAAATATCCAGCTTGACAGGAACTATCTCTGGAATCAATACTGTGATATTTACTTGTGACTAGTAACATATTAATATGGGCATATGTTAACATACAGAGAGATCTGGCCCTGAAAAAAAGTAGTTCTGTAAAGTGAAATTAAGCATAGCAAATATTATGCCCCCAATGATTTATTTGACCTCATTGGGGTACAGTGCCATATGAAAGTGTGTAGCTCCTGACTTGGCACAGGGAGATGTGACAGAATGGAAGGGGAACCGGCGTTTCAGAGGGGGCTCTGCTCAGCCCCTCGATAGGCTGGCACGGCGGGCTTGCAGAGTGACATGCAAGCACAAAGCTTCATTCAGCACCCCCCCTGTGGCTTCACCTCATCACTGCCACCACCTTACCCAGTTCAGACATTCATGTCATACTGGGAATTTATCTCCCACCACAAAGGTATCTTGTTTAATCCAGCAGCAGTTCCCTGCAAATATCCCATCCGAGTACATTGCATTGAAATCCCACCCCCTCACCAGCAGCCACACGGCAGTCCCATAAGCTAGGAAGCTGGTGTTAGCTCAAAGGCCCCCTCAGAGCTCCCACAGGAGAGGAAGGTGATCTTACTAATTCAAACCTTTTTTTTTTTTTTTTTTGTAAACACTTATCTTCTCCGTGTCCTGAAATTGTCCTGCGTTGGGCAAAGCAGTCCTCAGATCACCACCTAAGTCTAGGAGAACCTGCATCCTACTCTTCTTCCTTATTTGCTTATGGGAAGAGAGTGCAATATTATATCACCAGGTAACCTTATAAATTGTCATCCCTACCAAGATGTTCATGGGATTCTAACAAGTAAGCGAGGGCAGTAGGCATAAACCAGAATCATTTTGACAAAATGGGTCACATGGTCAGCTGAGATAAAACTTTCTGAAGAATGATTTCGGAAGTCAGGAAACCAGGTTCTAGCCCATTATTCTTCCAGAATAATCATAAGGGCTAAGTTTCTCATTTCTCTGGCCCTCAGTTGTAAAATAGATTAGACTAAATGGTCTCTGATCTTTCAGCTCTCAATTCCTCACATTCTATCCATGGTGTGAGCCTCCCTGGGTGATATGAAGATGAATAAGATGCATTCCCTACCTTCAGGGTAAAAGGCAGCTAAAATCTAGAAAATCCCAACAGTGTCCTCCTGGTGTTGCTCAGAAATAGCTAAATATCTCTTCTAGATTCCTTTTCTTTTATTGTTGTGACCCATTTTACCTGCATAGTATGAATTAGATAGTTACGTAGGAAGAAGACAAAATAAACAACGATACTACTACTTTTACCAAAACCAGGAGGCAAAACATCTTTAGAAATTTCAGGCCAGCAAATGATGTTGGCCTGGACATGCACAAATCTCTAGGGAGAAGGAATGAGATCTATGTTTCTTCTGATCCTTACCCAAGGATGTTTTCATTGATTCTAGAGAGAAAGGAAGGCGGGGAAAGAGAGAGAGATAGAGAGGCCTCAATTGGCTGCCTCCTGTACGCATCCTGACTGGGGATTGAACCCATAACCTAGGTGTGTACCCTGACCAGGAATCGAACCCGCAACCTTTTGGTGTACGGACGACCCTCCAACCAATTGAGTCACTGGCCAGGGAAATGTCTATGTTTCTTAAATGTTCTTATTCCACCACCTCCTTGGGGAACCCCCCTATAATTTCAGCTCTTCTGTTCCACCCTCTCCTATGCCCCATCTAAGAGACTGGGAGGTGATTCTTAGTCACTTTAGTTTGAAAATATTTGCACGTGCAGTGCGGTGATTGTTTCTGCAACAGTGTAGGCCGTTTTAAGGTGACAGTTCTGCTCTGGGGCAGTTTTTTGTCACCAGGTGGACGTGGAAAGTAGAAGTGAAGATGAGAAATGTCAAGTGTCAAAATACTGTTTTCTCAATTCTCCTTACAACCACACAGGGTAAGAGAGTGGAGAGAAATCATGTCTTTGATGAGGGGCAGAGTGGGTGGCCTACATTCTGGATGGCCCACAGAAGTTTTATTTATAGGATTGCTTTATTAATGGAAACATTACCTCTTCCCCTCCGCCAGCCACCAGATCCAAGTGCCCAAAGACTGATTTGGAGGAAGGAAATCTTAAACAAGTTTAATGAAATAATTAAAGATGATGAGGTATAGGAATCTGCTTTATAATAACAAAATTAAAGCTAACATTTATGGGGTCCTTTTTTGCATGTCAGACCCTGTTCTAAGCTCTTACATGTTGAAATCATTTAATCTTCACACCCAGCCTTTCAAGAAGGTAATATTATTCCCATTTTACAGATGAGGAAATTGCGGCTAGAGCAGTAAAGTGGCATCCCCCAAATCACACAGCTGCAAAGAAGCAAAGCTAAGACTTAACCCCAGGCCCACACGGCTCCAATACCTGCATTTACCCACAGCATGACTGAGCCACAAAAATAATGCTTTCATTATTTTATTTTATTATTATTATTATTATTATTATTATTATTATTATTATTTGCAAGCACTCTAAACGTGGAACAAATGAATGGGC